TTCACCCCCAAGATAGTTCCTGCTAGAGAGGTGGTACTTTCCTGGGGAGGAAATGGTTCGTGGGTGTGTCGGCCACACTAACAATTTCTGATTGGCTGGGCGAATTGCAAATCACGCGCCGTAAAACTCAGAAAATGTTTGTGAAGCCACTATTTTATTTGCTCGCATTAGCGTTATTAGCATTAGCATTAGCCCAGCGCACTAACGGAGAGAGGCTAACTTATGGCAACACAAAAGAAAACATGGGAGCAGTGGAGTGATGAGGAGGTATCAGCGCTTCTGGCGATTTACTCGGAAGACGCTACCCAGCAGCTTCTACTGAAGCCAGTCCCCAACTCCGGGGGACTCCGGGTGGCAGTATACGCCGTGAAGTTGTCAGAAGTTGTCAGTTGCCAGTAAACCCAAAGCAGAAGAAGAAGAAGTGACGTCAGTGGCTTAATTTGCGTAATCCTCCCTCAGTGACTTATTCCAGTGTGAACGTGATCTACAGGACAGTTCCAGGGACTAAAGAGTTCGGGGGGACTAAGTACCGCAAAGTACTTGGTGTGAAAGCGGCTTATGTTGTTCCTCTATTGGCTGGAAAAATGGTTTTGACCATATCGGTCAGCTTCTTTTGCTATTTTTCTGCCCTCCGGTGGCCAGAAAGCCTTGCACACTGGATATTGAGTTGTTCCTAAGTCATGCTTATGATATAATGGGTATTTTACAGGTTTTTTGTTGCGTAAGCATTGTAAAATTGATGTATACAGACCAGGCTCAGTATGGGAAGACTGCTGAATTGATGCATCGTGTTTGAATTATTCACAAAAACGCACTAAAAGGGTTGTATTATTATGATTAGCATCATTATTATGTGGAAAATGCTGTTTTATTCTCAGCGTGAGTCTGTCTCTTGAGTGCCTAACTGCATTTTTGGAAGGCTTTTCCATTCTAACATGAATAGGGTCCTCAGAAAAAATGCTGATTTGAAACCAAAAGAGAAAAAACTGATTTGAAGATACCGAATATAGCCTAAAAAGATCAGCTAGTCACATTTGGCCCTCAAAAAGGTTTGTGTTGATTTGACAGTGCTTGCGTCTGGGATCTCTGGGCTGTATCACTATCCACACACACACACACACACACACACACACACACACACACACACACACACATGCATAATCAAGTGCTCCCTCTCTGCACTCTATCAGCATATGTCAGCATATGGCTCCCCCCTCAGAGAGACTGTTGAACAGACTGATCCAGGTTTGATTTGGNCTTCATCATGACCATACATAACTTACTTATTCTATAGACTTTCTCAGCTTCGAAAATTCCTTTCAATCCTTTGTCCTGATAGGACATTCTACGCTAAGTCGCCTGGAAAGTTATGAATTTTCTTTGATCCTTTTGGTAAAAACTAATCAAAAGAAAATAAACTGTATAATTAAATTAACATGAAAATAAAAAGCTAACACAGAACAGAAAATCATAATAAACATATAAAAACATACGTTCAAACGTAGATGTTATTGTACCGACATACCAGTCTAAATAAAAGCGGGTGGTAGTGATTAGTTTATTGGTTAGGACTCACCATAAATTCGTGCTCTTTTTTGTCTTTGTTGGTTCTGGTCTCTTCAGTACTAATGTTTATATTAGGTCAAAGACTTTTTCCACTGACACTATGACCTCCTATACACTCCATCTTTATGTCAACAAAAGATTGAACTCTCTTGGTCGTTTTTTGTTGGTCGGGAATTCTGGGGCTGTCCTCATTTTAGCACACATTTAACTTTATAATTTTGAACAACACACTTTTTTGGACGTAACTGAAGGTATCCCCAAAATGTAACGGAGTAATCAAACGGGATCCTCGTTCGTAGATCACCTGTCTTCTCCTTGACGTCGACTTGTGTGGACTCGACACCACCAACAAATTCGAGTCATGTAACTATGTCCTCTAGAAATACTAGGTGTAAACCCTTTTACGAAGCAGTGTCTTCGTCTTCACAACAAGCCTGAAATATTATGTTATGACTTTTATGACAATTTTTCACGCTTTTCTCTTAATGTTTGCTTTCTTTTTGTTCACGAATCAATCATACATTCCGAATCAATATAACATTCACGAATCAATCATATGTTCACGAATCTATCATATATGCACAATCATAACATTCGACGAAACAATCATATGATGCACGAATAACCATATGGTCATCAATTCATATAGTACACGATCAATCATATATGCACGAATCACTCACTTTCACGATCATAATACACTCGAATCAGACAGACATTCACGTTCAATCACTTCTAAACTGTTCGAATCATCAACCACTAATAAACTGTTTACGTTCGAGAAATAGTGTAGTCATATTTGTTTTGCGAATCTCGTACAGTCTCGTCAATCATAGCATGCACTCAATCATACTTTAGCGAGATCAAGTCATCGTCCTCCGATCGACGTACTCCTCACGATCGTCCTCCTCGTTCACGTCTCATATGTCGCGTCTCCATCGTTCAGTCTCCTCGTCGGTCTCACGATCTCCATGTTCTCGACTTTCATATGTTCACGATCGATATCGCACTTCAAGCCTCTATCATAAGGACAGTCAGAATCATCGTCCGTCTCCCGATCAACGAGAGTTCACATCTCTTGGTACGGGTCTCACCTCACGAATCAATCATACTGTCGCGGTGTATCCGATGGTCACTGCTATGTTGTGGACATCCGAGAAGCCTTGATTCGGTCTGGGTACCGTCACATCCAAATTCGACCCTTAGTGTATGTTCTCAGCGCTTGACAGTCGACTGGGGACGTTACACTGTATATCTAAGATAACAACAGGGACATAGTGTCTGTTTTAAACTTTGTCTGTCTGCCAGACCGAGCTGCTGACGCGTATAGTCATATTAGAGTATTGGAAGACAGACAAATCTGTAAAAGTTTTCCCAAACTCCACCACTTAACGCTTTGACGACATTTGTCTTATTTCGGTTAGTTCATATAAAATTCCCTCTCATCATTAGGTGTGTACTTTTATTCTTATAATTTTTCAAGGTTGTCCTCGAGGTGGAGTTGGTCATGTAGGACGAGAACTGGTAAATTATGTACCATAGTATATACATTCTAATATTATATGTATCTATATTGTACGGCCTGGTAAGAAAATGAACATTGGTCTATTATTATGATCACACCAAAATATGAAATTTCATTTCCCACACCTTCCGTTCATTTCTGACGTCATCATCACTCTACAAATTGTTTTCGACTGATCTTTATAACGTTATTTTTGCACCCCGTTCCACCTACTTCTGATATAATTACTGGCAGAGCGAGAATGAGTTCAATGAGTATGTAACATAATTAACTCTGATTAAAGGCACATGCGATGAATAACATCGAAGATGAGTGAATTTTAAGTCTCCATTACCCAAAAGTCTTCGGGTAGGAATTTATAATACCAGGCACTAACGTGTCGATATCTCGACGATTGCAATCTCGTACGAGGT